TGATTTACTGTAGAAGAATTTAATCCATCCCAAACAGGCCTTTATTTACTTTGATTAAATTGTTGGAATCTTTAAATTTTTTCCTCTAGATATTTGAACCATTAGTGTGAGATATACTTGTTTTTCTTCCAGTCAATTTAGATAGAAACACACAATGGTTCTAAGTTTCCAGAGGTACTGAACACATTTCCTGTCTGCGGGATCTCCATGCCATAAATTTAGGAGATAGTGGGTTTATGGTGATTAGAGATGGATGTACAGTTTTCAGACCCCCCGTTCAACTGCATGATTTAATTTTACTTATCAGCTGGAGAGTGGTACTGCTGGAGATTTGCCTAGCTCTGGAGAGGTCAGATGGATCCTGTTTCTTTTATACCATCTTTCTGCTAATGGTTCTGTGATTTTTGACAAGTGCATAAGGAATATACGCATGTTGCAAAAATATAATTTATCCTGTGAACGAGGGAAATTGCATTGGAAATTTGTAGAGAGTGCTGGACGAGGTGAAAGGATGAAAATTTTTGTGTTTCATACTGAATTTTAACTGTATAATTGATCTACAAGTTCGACCTGCTGTACTTTTATGTTTAAACATTGTTCAGTTATCTTGTTTAGAAGAATTAACATTTGTATTTTATTGATGATCAACTTCTACTGTAACTTACAGAGCACTTTGATAGTTTTGAACATTCTCTAACAGGCTGGTAGATATATGCCATATTACATGGATCCTTCTAGTGAGTCTCAAAGTGTTTTAAGCATTATTTGATAGGTTTTTGTCAACTTACCCTTAGGCATGCTCGTATATAACACTGGATACCCATGCCCAAGCCCACATGGCATAGGGTGCATGCATTTCATGTAATATATNATATATTACATGAAATGCATGCACCTTATGCCCACACCTTAAATGGAACATTGATTGTTGCTTTCGTGAAATACCTAATTCTTTATGCCGTCCTTCACTCCTTTTGTACTTGCTTTGCAGTCTTCTATAAGTTTTAGTTATGGCTGTTATTATCTTTTGTTTAAGCAATACTTGAACTTAAGGGGAAAAGCTGATCGATGCTTGCTTCAGTTTGTTATTTTTTGACAATTAGGTTGGCTACGCTTCTTGGAAATGAATCCATTTGGAATTGAATGACCGCGTGTGCTGCAAGTGTTTACAATTGCTGTTTCTCCAGGAGATGTTATAGTTGTCGGTACAGATGGACTTTTTGACAACTTGTTTAATAATGATATTACTACAGTAGTGGTTCATGCTGTGAGAGCTGGTTTAGGGCCTCAAGTTACAGCCCAAAAGATTGCAGCATTGGCACAGCAACAAGCACAGGACAAAAGCAGGCAGACACCTTTCTCTACTGCAGCTCAAGAAGCTGGGTTCCGTTACTATGGTGGAAAACTTGATGACATCACTGTAGTTGTTTCTTATATTGCCAGTGAACCTTGGTATGATCTCTCTGTGTGTGTGTGTGTTGCAAGAATTTCTGATTGTGCCTGCATTTAGGCAACTGTCTGCATGGCTGTACATGAAACTCTCTCTTGCATTTTATTGTTGGACGATACCTATATATCTGATGTCAAATCTGGGAAACTACTTTATCTTTAGGGTCAATCAAGTTTTTATTTTTTTTTTGCATCGTGAAAAGTTCTCAATTTTTTTTTCTTGGCTTTAGATATATGAAACCATGACAATTGGGTATCATTCATCAATAAAATGATAAGATTAAAAAGTATGAAAATCAGCTTAATAATAGGCTCTATTTCAAAATAATGGTCAGAGTTTCATTTATAAATTTAATTATTTATGCATTCATTGTTTCTAAAATAATGTGAAGGTAACTTCTAACTTACCCTCACTCAGAGAGTTGCAGTGATAACACGCAGTCCACTTACTGATGCTAGCGTTGTGCACAGAATGACTGATATCAAGTTACACTAGCAAGTGAATATAGCATGCCATCATCTTTTTGCTAACATTCTTTACAGGGTCTCGTAACTTTAGAGATTATGCATCCTCTGATGTTGGGTGCCCATTTCTATTTTTCGGATGTTTTTATTATAGTCTGTTGTGATGTGTTGATTCATTTTTCACGGACTTGCTCTTTTTCTTAGGTTAGTTGTTCTAAAGTGAGCCTTCCCTTGTAGTAGAAAAGCCTCGATGACTATGGTGGTCTAGGTGTATTTTCTGTTTGTGCGTGGTTGGAAACTTGTTGCATTTCTGAAGCTTGCACATTGTACTGTTACATGCTTGTGGTAGAGTGATGATTAAATTGCAGGTTATCCTACCATTACTCGATATATGTATTACTTCATGACCTCATGTTCAAAGCCTAGCATATTTGTTACGCATGATTGGACGAGTGAATTGTACAGTTAACAATATTTTAGCTTTTTTTTTTTTCTTCTTCAATATTGTTTAATAATATCCAATCTAGAAATTTGATTGTGATGCTTCTGCAGGAAAGCGCTTCATCCAGCAGCTCTAGTTAGAGCCTGTTTGTACTTGCTCGTCGGCGTCAATTTCCAGCAACTACCTGGATTGCTTGGCATCTTTTGGGACAATACTGATGTTTCACATACGACAGTTTAGTAATATGATTGAAACTTGTGTCTTCTTATCATGTATTCCAATATTACACTCTTGGGAATTATTTTTGTTGTATATACTAGTTTAGAGCTGTTACCTGTTGGTGCTTTCAGTTACAGATCAAATCATGTCTAGAGGGTTAATACACGTTTATCTTGTGTCATTTTAGAATCTTATGCTTGCTGATTCCACACGGATTGTGTTCGATCTTAAAAGAGCCATGGTTCAAAAGTTAACTGTTAAAGTTGGGGAACTCAAGCCTATATAATCACACATCGAAATTATATATTTTCAATGTGGAATTCAAGTTTCATACCTTACGACAAGAATCATGACAAATCACCATGCTTTGCGATATCAATACTTTGCACTAGCTCATAATTAGTCCTAGACAACAATATTATGTTAGCATCACCATTCACGGTTCGTTTGGATTTGTGAGATGTCAGTTTTGCTTTGATACTATTGTTATAGATTTTAGGAGAGTTATACTTTAAAAGCTAATTGTTGAAGTTAAAAAGTTCAAATATAATAAACCACGTATCGAAATCTCGTACTTTTGTTGTGGATTCAAATTCCATACATTGAAATTGGAACCATTATAGATTGCTAAAGTAATGTTTACTAGAGTTGGTTTAACACTCTTATCAGTTATACAATTTTATAAAAAAAGAAGAATAATCAAATTTGTCCAAATCGAAGACAGTATTAAGTTTTTAACGTATTGGAATTTCGGATTCATCTCATATTCAAATTAATATCAACTATTTAAAAATAAAGTTAAAATATCAGCCAAACAAAACCCTTGTTCGCCTGTTTATACAATTAATACCTAATTATTTATTAATTTAAATACATGTTATAGTCAATGGGATTAGGTAAAGCTAGTCGCTCATTGCTGAGGGAAAATTCTAGTTGTACAACCGAAGTTGACAACCTCTCACATGTGTGTGGGGTCCGCATATTTAAAAAATTCAACAAAAAAAGTGGACCCTCCACGTAAGTGGTTGTCAACCGATATTGTCAACCTCGATTGTACAACTAGCATCACTCATTGTAGATATGTTCATTTACTTAGTTGACTAGACTGGTCCCTGCCCAATCGAACCGTTGTTTCACAAAACCTGACTATTGTTCTTGTGTTCTGCGAAACACCATTACAGTCCTCCCTGTCTGCTCTATGCTTGTACTTCCAAGTCCATGTACTCGCAAACCACAACTATGCCACTCCTCTGCCAAAGGAGCCATGCTATATGTACCATGAAGGATGACAATGGAGGATGATCAACACACAATTTGGGTGGGAGGGAGGGGGGGAGGGGTCCACTTTTTTTTTGGAATTTTTTAATCACGCGTGGCCCGCACGCATATGTACAAATTCCATTTGTACATAAATGAATGATAATGGAGGTTGACAACCTCTCACATGCGTGCGAGTCCCGGGTGATTATTGGTCATCATTCATTATATAAGCGGACTTTTCTTAAGTCCCCTATTGTGATTGTTGGTCATCATTCATTATACATGTAGCATAGCTCCCGTCCTATTTATATAAGCGGACTTTTCTTAAGTCCGTTTCTTTATTGAAAAAATATTTATTTTGTTCGTTTACTAATATACTCATTTAATTTGTTTAATTTTAATCAATTCCTTTCAGTTAATTTTGAAATTGTACAGATTAATTTAACTCAGAATTATTCAAATACATACACATTTTCTAAAACACCATTATTTACTACATAATTAAATAAGGATAAATTAGGAAAATTGTATGCAAAAATTATTTTTTTCAATCACATTAAATAAGGTTTTTTAATGCGAAGAATAAATCAGCCTATATCCAGTGGAAGTAATAGAAGATATGCCTATTTTTTTTTCGAGGTTTGAGTGTGTTCACTGGAGGCTAGTTTGAATTTTATATCGTGAGGGAAAAGAACAATGGCGGTTGGTCGGAGGGAGAAGAACAGTCAATCATCGATTCGAGGATCGCATATCGCCATCGCAATTGGGATCGGAGTTGTTGCCGGATGCATTTTCGCCTTCTTTTTCCCGAATGGATTCTTCTCCTCTGATCCGCCTACACAAACACAAGTTCGCCGTCTTTCCAAATCCAGTCTCGAGGTACC